AAACACTTAACGATAATGCCTCAAATCCCCATTTGTGCTTTGATTGTTGAAGCAGCTGCTGATTTATCATACGGTCTACTTAAGTCAAACAATCTATGCCTTTACTTGCGTACAATTTTGAAATCCTTTTAGCTTTTCTTTATGCCTAATTGTCTCTTTAGTAATTCAATTTATCCTGCAACAGAAAGACGGCTCTCCGGAAAGTTGTAAGGCGATAGCTTTAGAACTGAGAGACTATTTGGCATAGTTACAAACAAACGGACATGGCTAGATCAACTCGGATATAGCTGCTGACCAAGAATATATACTTAAGGGTGTATCAGCAATGCTTCCTTCTGCTTATTACATATATTTACACAAAACCATTATAGCCTTTTTAACCATTTTCAATGGGGCTACGTTATAAATCTGAAAAGCTTATAGCCTAATTAGAATACAAAATTGTCTAATAACGTGTTCCTCATAAGGGATTACAACCACGGCTTAGGCTAAGCTTGGATGAATTCCTACTTCAGTTGTGACGGACTGGAATTTGAGGCATTGGGAAAGTGTCTCTTTTAGTCGCCTCGTACGACAAGCGGTGACATGCTGTGGAGGTATTCTAATGCCCGCCAACCAGACGGGTCCGTTCTCACGATCGGATAGCACTTGGGCCAAGCGATTGTATATGGGTATCTAACTAAAATTTCATCCATTTTCCACGCTGAACTCTGTTTTGAACTTGTGCCCCAACGTTTGCCCATGCGGGCCAGTCAATTGCCCGCCCCAAACCCCAACAAGGGCTTGCAACACTGTTGCAAGTGTGGCAAACTTTTTGGCTCATACGTGTGCTGCTTGTTGCGGCCAGATACGTGTACAGCCGGGCAACATTGTTGCTGCTGCCAAACGGAAACGGTTTGTGGAACTGTAGGCAAAACTTTGGGTTTAACTTTTGCTTGTTTCATTCAAGTGGCTGCGGCTGCGGCGACTGCCATGTAAAATGTTTACAAACAAAACTTTATGCAAAACCCACAAAAACGCAATGGGAAACTGTTGCAGTTGCTGTTGCAGTTGCAGTTTGACTTTCAGTTGTTTGTTTTTGTTCTGGGTCCTGTTATTGTTTTGTGGTTGCGGCTATTTTGCATTGAGTAGCTGGGCTACATGTGCAGCTGACATCTTCGATTCCCAGCCGGGCTGGGCTGCGCTCATAATAATATACATGCATAGATAAAATACAATTTCCCTGTGCAATTTTTGTTTTTAATTAATTCTGTATTACTTTCCTTACTCTTTCCCATTGTTGCTGCTGGGAACGTGTTTCGCATTCGTGTGGCGTCTGTTTAACGTCTTAACTGGGCAAGTCTGCACCGGTCTCTGGGGCGTCTCCAGCTTCCAGCTGGATTCCGTTTAAGGTTTTTTTCTCTTTGTTTTATTTTCTTTTTTTGCATCGCTGCATTTGTTTATATTAAGTATTTTTCTTTCTCTATTTGCTGTGCACTGTAATTAGCCCCAGTCCCCGCCTGCCGTAGCTCCTCCCCTGGCCCCTTGACTGTGGACAAGACAGCTGCCGTCTGTTGTCTGTTGGCCAAAATTGCTGTGCATAAAAAGTTTAACTTGACATTTTTAGCAACAGTTTGTAATTTGGTCGTCGCGTTTGGCGTAACCCTTTCGAGATATTTGCTAATTTTTTCCCTTACACTTACATTTTACTTGCAGACTGCTTAATTGCATTACCAAAGGCCCGCCCATTGCTGTTTTGCATTTAGATTTCATTTTCCGAATTGTTGACAGAGTTCAAGAAAAAATTCGCAGAACAGAAAAGGTAAGTCTGAATGCATTTTGCCTAAATTTAAGCTACAATATTACGAAATTAAAGAATTATAATCTTTTCTCAGCTTAAGAAACTCATTTTAATTTTCTTTTTAATAAATTGAGATGTAAATTAAAAAATCATAAAAATGGCCAAAAAAAATATATATATACAAATTATGCATAAATGTTTATGGTCCAGTTGCATTTTTATGGCCCAACCCCCCAAACTTCTTATAGGGTTGCAAATTAAAATGCTCAACTTAAAAGCATGCTCCATATTTTACGATCTTTGGACATTTTATGTACGTTGTTGCTTAGCCCACAACCCTTCCCAACCCCTTTTTTGGCACCCGCCATAACTTAATTATCCATATGAATCCTTCAGTTTTACTGCGCCTTATCCTGTAGCAGGTCGGCATTTTAATTATGATGAGTACTTGGTGGGTTCTTCGGGTTCAGCTCTTGCAGCTGTCATATTTTTATTTATCTAAATCGTCAGATCTTCACGGGCCTGCTCATTAAAATGACATCAAATCGAGCCTTGTCCCAGGCGTCTGGCAAATGTTTTATTATTGTTGCTGGCGTTTTCCATTTCTACAATTTTATGTCCAGCAGCTGTACATCATCATAAGTTTATTGTTTGAGCCGTTAAGTTTAAAGGCCTGCGGCCAGGGTCTGCTGCCTACAGAAATAATGTGCTCGGCACATTTTATACACTTGCATCATTTTAATAAGACGCCATATACCCCATATACTCTCTTCCGCATGCCAACCAAGCCAAAATGCGTTTGTCTTTGCGGTTAGGCGCTGCTCCTCATGGGTCACTGGGCATTTGTCATTGTTTTGTGGGAGGCGCCCCAAAAGGCTGCCACACATGCCGCAACTGCAAGCTGCGACGCATTGCTGCGGTTGCATTCATAGGCAGGTGGGTTATCATGGCTGGCGTCTCTTTGAAGTAATCGCCACCGACGTTGCCTTAAGGCTAAGCCTCATTTGTGGTCAAATTGTGTGCTGTGCGTCAGCCTAAAGTCGATTATGTCAATATTGTGCCATGGCTAATGGCTAATGGGTAATGGGCACTGCGAACCAGGGTAATGGTTGAGTTGCTGTAGTGAGTGTTTGTGATAAGGATTTGTGTAAGTTGTGGCCGCTGCCAGCGTACGATTGCCCCGGCTCATATGCTAATTAGCGCCCAATGCTTTAAGCTGCTCCGAAGCGCTTTAAGGCTTTACAATTTCATGGAGTTTAATAGCCCGACACAAACCCATATGGCAAACTTTTGCCAATGCGAATCAGTGCCGCCTGCTCTGCGCAACAACAACCAGAATAAGCCATAAACTAGCTGTAAAAACACATAAAAATCATAGCATACATTTAGGAGTCGAATTACAAATGCCCTCGCATTCGTGCTGCGTCTCAAAGGGGTGGCTCAGGATAAGGCCACCGGCAAAATAAAAAGGAGTAACAGCATTTGCACATTAAAAACGCATAAAAATCGAGAATTGAATTGCCAAACAGCAACAACAAGCGGCACATAAAGTGGCCATGAAAACAATAAAATAAAACAAGCAGGAAATCTAAAAGTAAAACTGACATTCGGGAAAACCCAATTGAAGCAATCAATTAAAATTGATGAATGAAATTGAATCACGTGTTACAATTTTCTTGAGGAATTGGCATCGAGTTACATTGTGCTCAGCACAGAGGCTGTGAAAGCCAATAAAATGTGCCATAAGCATGAAGGAAATTGGTAAACCCTTAAGCTATATATGCTATGTGCTAGAAGATCTATTCATACCAAGAGCTCATTTATGCTAAGTTCATAATCATATTAACAATAAAGAAGTATCTAAAATAGTTCTACAATTAATTTGAGAATATTATGAATTATTCTTATAAAATACAGTCTAAAATTGCGATATTGAGTAAAATACTCTATTTAAATTTCCATCAACGAATTGATATTAACGAAATTTTGCTTAGAACTTTGAGCTCTTTCAGCAACGCATCCATTGACACCCACACAAACAAACAAAAAAAGAGAGAGTTCAGTGCTCTCGGTTAACCCCCTCGGCAGGAACTTAACCCCCTTCCACCCCCTTCCACTGGACACGGTACGCGCTATCAGCTGGCAGAGGAGAAAACTTTTATGCGCTTGTTAACAAAAGCGTGAAATTCAATGCGGACGAACACAAATTTACGACACTGCAAATTAAACTTGATTTTTATTTAAATAAATTGCATTTTATGCGCTCGGCTAGGATATGCGATGCCGTCGTCGGCATCCTCGGCGTCGTGTCGTAATAATAAGCAGGCAACGGCCATAATTTGCACCGGAATATGACGGTTGGATATGTGGCTGTGACTGGGCGACGGGCTGGCTGCTTTATGTATTTTTATTTATTACACGCAGCATTGCCAGGAAATGTTTGTTGATTTTCCGCAGCGCGCGCACAATAAAAATCGGGGCAACATCCACAAAAAAAAAACAAATTATTTTCTAGACGAACGCGCGTTTCTCGAATAAAAAACCAGAAAATATCCGAATTGTACAGAGAGTTTTTTGTAGAGCATGCAGATGGTATTTTAACTATGTCATGATAGATAAAAATATTCTCGACTACAAGTCTTTGTTGATATGAATATGCCGTTTTTAAAAAACTCAAGACAACATTAAAAATTTAAATACTTTCTCTGTTGAGAAAATGTTTTCGAGATTTGAAAATAAAATTCTTTCTGGGAGAAGTTGTTAATATAAATTTGATCTTAGAATGTGAATTAAAAAAATGCATTTGTTTAGACAAAAATCAGCTACAATACATCAAAATAGAAGGAATCAAAAGAAAAGACTAAGAAACTAACTAGTATGGTATTTGGCTTCTCTCGGCAAGGGTATTTATTCTTTGCCAACCCAAAGACAACATTTTTTTCGTTTTTCCTTTTGTATATTCAACCTCGTCGTCGCCGTCATTAAAAACGGAAATGTAAATGCGTAATTTGTGCGCCGCGAAATATGCAATACATTTTTTGAATGGAGGCAAGCGAAACGAATTGATAAGGGCTTAACAAAAGGTTCAATGGTTAACAGAGATGTGATTCTTGAATCGCTATGAGCGGATCTGAGCTCCAAGAGCTGTTTGGCATTCCAGAGTAGCTGAACACTTCAGCTCCATATACTCTAATAGTTTTGTATCTGCCTGCCACGGGAGTAGTCCATATCAAAAGTATGTCTTTATTAGCCTATTTGGCAATAGTTTACTTAATAGCTCGAACTTTGCAGTAGTAGGGATTTTTGGTATGTAATGTTATGACAAACATAAGTCGCGTCTTTTCCTGTCGCTCGCCAACAGGCTCGAAAATGAAGTTTCTCAGTAAGTGGGCCAGCACGAGTTTCATCATGACCATGGCATAACGCTGACCAAGACAGCTGCGAGCGCCCATCATGAAGGGTATGTAAGTGGACGGTTCGACGGTTCGGTCCGCATCACGGGCCCAGCGCTGTGGCTTGAATGCCAGCGGTTCGGGAAAAAAGTCCTCGCAACGGCCCATATACATAGGGGAGATGATCACATCGCAGCCTTTTGGTATAAAGAAGTCATCTGGAATGATTGGGAACTTAATCCAAGCTACTCTACTCTGGAACAGCTGGGTTTTATTACTGATTGTACAATTGGCGGTGGCACGCCGTGCGGTTAGAGGCGCTGAGGGATACAGGCGCATGGACTCCTTGATGCACATTTCCAAGTATTCCAGCTCACGCAACTGTTCCATGGTTATGGCCGTATCTGTATTCCGACCACAGACCTGCCAGATCTCCTCACGGCACAGCTGCTGATATGCCATATGCAACGTCATGTTGTACATGAAAAACTTCAGCGCGGTGGCCGTTAGATCAAAACCCCCAAAGATAATTGTGTCCACTTCTTCGCGTATATCCTTCAGCTGCAGCGGCTGGCCGTCTGGTGTTCGCGCCAGCAGCAACGTGTCCAGAAGACTGAGGGTTTTGCCTTGATGGGACTCGACGTTCTTGGTTGTCACGCAATTGCGATTGGCCAGATCCGAGTTAATCTGATCCAAACGCTCCGTGATAATGCCCTCCGTAAAGCCGTGCAGTATCTTGAGATTTTTCTTTTCGCGTGCCGCCAGCGGGGTAAAGCGATAAATAAGTGAACTGCGGTACAGTAAATTCTTCAGCCGGCAGTCAAATACGTGAAAAATGCTGTGAAGCAGACAGGCTGGAGGAATGCATTCATACGTTTTAACCTACTCACTCTCTGACTGCATTGAAGTATTCCGACTTTTCACCAGACTGCGAGTTCACTGTCGTACCCAGTGCCGTCTCGCAAATGGTGTCCAGCGTGAAGCAGCTGACGAGCTGAAAGAAATCTACGGGCTGATTCGTGTCAGCCAACTTGTCAAGTCTAGACAGCAAGATGCGTGCCTGGCGTTCATATATGTTCACAAACTGCTTGATCATGCCATAATTAAAAGCAGGCGAGATTATCTTGCGACGGTGCATCCATTTCTCGATGCCGCTGGTAAAGACGCCCTCACACAGCCAATTCTCGAACACGCGATAGTCCGAGGTCTTCTGTAGCAGCTGCTGTGCGCTGCAAAGCGCCTGAATATCCTTGGGATTGCAGTCCAGCATGTAGAGCTTAGTGCCCAGCCAGAGTTTGCCGCGATGCTCCTTCAGATGACAGTTGATCAGCTCTGTGGCGCGCTTAAACGGTCGCGGCCCAATGATTCTCGCGAAGATGTGCAGATGGCCGATAATCGGCAGTGAAGGTGGGCCCGGCCAATTGCTGGTGAGTCGATTGATTCTCGCCTGGTACCGATACGAGTTCACCAGATATATAAACACTAGGCTAAAGAGCAGCCAAATTAGTAGCGAGTCCAACATAATGCTTTGAGTTCTTTGAATTAACTGGCCTAAAGTCTCGGGGCATTTGCGAATTTAAGTCAAGTCGCAGCCACCTGTTGACACTTAACAAATCACAGTGCAACTTCTTCATAAAGTGCCACAAACTGAGCAAAAAGTATATTTATCATATATCTATTTTTATTTCTTTTATATGTGTATTAAATGCGCAATGCTTGACACTAATGAACTGGGCACAGTTTTCATCACAGCGCTTAGATATATAAAAATCGTTTGATTTGTCAATCTCTGGATGCGAAACAGAAGTGAGTCTTTTTACTCGGCTGGCCGCGTTTAAATACCCAGACTCGAGTGCCTGGATTTCCGAAAGCGAAATGATTAAATGTAAATAAATACTATAAACGTCTTTAGAATCATTTAACTCAGACTATGGCCTCTTACGGGATACCCTTTAATTGTTATGAATATAATCTCAAGTTCAAATTTGTATGTTATTTTTAAAAGAATTCTATCATCCAGAATAAAACGTTTGGAATTCCTTTAATTTTTAATTTTGTCAACCTTTTCTCTTAGTAATATATTCAACTATTTCAAAACATTTGTTAACAAAAAACCCGTGGCATAGTTTCATTTGTTAAAGATAACTCGCATCTCATAAAGATAACTCTCAACTCTCATCTGTCCATCATTACTCTGAAAACGGAGCTTACATTCTTAACATACACTAAAATCGTTTAGTTTTGAGCTGAAATGAACGCACCACTATTAATATCACAACTGAAAGGGTATATTGCCATAAATTTGCATTGAGTGTACACAACAAAGTGCTTAGAGCGAGTTCCACTCAGCAAATAAATGAGTTCAATATTATTATCGCAAAATTATAAATTTGATGAGTGGTCGCGCCCAATGCATACAAATGTGCCCCGAGCGAGTGAAATTGACAAACGGTCCACTAGATTCACAAACATAGAATCGCGCCCAGTATTCGGATCCACCCAGAAAATTAAGAAAACTCGCTTGGTAATTTGCGGATACAGGTACAGGTACAAGTTTGTCAATTATTTTTAAATATTTAATTTAATTACTCACGAATGCGTTAAAAGTATTTGATGACATCGAATGGTTATTTGTTTGTTTACAAATCTTCACTGTCAACTGAATGTTGACAAACTGTTATTAGTATAACTATTTGCTTCAATACCCTGTATCTTAAAAGAGTGTGCAGTAGAGTACTGCGTTGCGACTCAGGTTAGGGTGATTTTAAGCCAAGCAAGTGGAGCTATTTTATTGGCTTTACTTGGACATGTTCCCTGCTTGTATTTGCAAGAAACATTTAAGGCGAGAACACGCAATTAAAAAAAAAAAAAAACAACTGATTCTAGTCCAATTATAGACCGAATCAATGTGGGTAGCATCGAAGACAGATTGTTTTTTGGCGCATTTCTTTTCTATTTGTTTTTCAAACTAAGCGCACGAAGTTAAAAGAGTATATTGGCTTTCAACAGTATGCGACATTGTAAATATTTGAGATAAATGATTTATACTGGACACTTGGAGTATACTTGTCTACACCGCCTCAGTCAAAAGAATTATCAAGCTATTAGTAGGAAGACTCCTTTCGGCTGATTAAATCGGCAAATACATTGAAAACTGAGTATTGCGCAGTCGGTTACAGCCGGAGGCAACGTTCTTACTTGTGCTCTCATAGCTTATATAGTCATAGACCATAAGCTTCTCAACATTTTGGAGAATTCTCAGAATTGCCAATACGCTAATTGTTATTCATGTTTTGAATAAAGTTCAAGGTTAGAAAGAGTGTGAAATTTGAAATGTGTTTTGATCGTTTGCTGCTGAATCGTCAGCCAGCCTAAAACGAGCACCTGCAACCGTTTCAATAAAGCAGAAACTGACCTAACGCACTATTAAATCATACTTCATTAAAGTTTTCGTACGGGTCGTAGCTCTTTTGTGAATGTAATTGCAGATTTTCAATGTATAAAGTGCATATTTTTTTGTTGTCAAATTAATTAATAAATTAAGTATATGCCATTTATTTGCACTTTTTATTAACAAATAAGGAAAACAAAAAAATATGCACTGCTCTTTATTTACAATGGTAGCCGAGCAGACGGCTTGCATTTTATTTTATTGAATTGAAACAAGTGGACGTTGAATGTTGACTGAGAGGAAATACAAATATAAATATATATATATATATATATATATATATATTTATACTTTCAGCATTCAAATTTATGAATACACATACATATTTACACAGTCGCAAATGATATGATATCATGCTATCATCCACACAAGCACATTAATTACAATTATTCATGTTCATTTGTGCGCTGTAACTTTTGTGTTAATTAGTGTAAATACATAGTCCTGCCTGGTCATTTTTTTCACAGCCCTTGTCGAGGCTCTATTGATATGCAAATGTTGAAAAGTCTAAATGAATTGAATGACATTTGGTCGAAATGTAAATCCACATCAAGGCTCTGGATACTGCAGCTGGCAGCAGCCTTATGCTAAAGCACAAACACATTAAATAATATTAAATATTGTTAGTGTTTTGGGCATTAACTCAACAATTTGCTTATATGCGACTTGCTTATGCGATGACTTTGTCAGCAAGTGGGGTCCAACAAATGTTTGACATAAATTCCATTATCTAATGGATGCCAATAAACACACACGCACACAGAGACAGAGACAATCAGATGTAGATACAGTTGTGCACCTGACAGGACCAAGGAACATTGTCTCACATTTAAAATTAAAAGTGATGTGAAAATGGCATGGCAATAGAGAGAGGGGCAAGGGTAGGTATTGAAACGATGCAAACTAATTTGAATTTATGCAAAGATGTCGAGCTGCCTATTATAATGCCTAACAAGGGGGGTAACTCAGTTTTATAAAAGGGTTTGTTTTGGATAAGAAACGTGATTTGTATAGATAATAACAAATAACTGAGCTCTAAATATATTATAAATAAATTCATATTTTAAATATTTTAGATATAATAATTATATATATTATAATAATCCCATTTGATTTTAGTAGTATTTAGTTGCAAGTAGAAATAAACTTCTTACCACCTCTTGAGCACCATTGCCCGAGCATTCAGTCCAATTTAAAAGTAGTTCCCTTTGGGTGCTTTACAATTGTGTATTATTGTTGTCTGTGGGCATGTACACCTCTGTAATTAAATGGATTATCATTATCAGGAGGGTCACACACCCTCAGCTTACAAATAAAGGTTTGTTTAATGAGAAACGTGATTTGTATAGATAATAAAAATAACTGGGCTCGAAATGTTGTCTCCAGCATATCGTTATTATATTAGTAGTTTAGATATATTACTATAATATAATTAATCCATTGGATTTTTGTAATATATAGTTGAAGTTACAATAAAGTTGTTTACTTTCTCTTGACTTACCTTTCCCATAACATTTACTGCAACTAAAAAGAATTTCGATCTCGCTGCTTAACAATTGGCATTCCTTTTGTATTCTTATTGTTGTCTGTGGGCATGTACACCTATGTAATCAAATGGCACATTATCAGGAGGGTCAAATAAAGGTTTGTTTGATGAGAAACGTGATTTGTATAGATAATAAAAAATAACTGGGCTCAAAGTGTTCTTTCCAGCATATCATTAATAGTTTAGATATATTAAAAAAAAAGTATTAGCGTAATAATCCCATTTGATATTTGTGATATATATATTAAGTAGAAACAAATTTCTTGCTGCCTTTTGACTTACATTTGGCAGATCGGAGTAAATCTCCAATTAAAAGGTATTTCTCTTTCGGTGCTTCACAATGGGCTTTCCATTCTTGTTATTATTCTTGTCCGTGTGCATGTAGCCCTCTTTAATTAAACTGCACATTATCAGGAGGCCCACACACACTCACGCACACACACTCAGGTATAGACATGTATAACAAGCACTTACACAGGCGCAGTCACCGCATAATTATGCAAGCATTTCTATGTGTGTATTTTATGCCACGCCCAACTGTCACTTTGAGTTTTGACCATGTGGGTGAAATTAAATTTGGTCACATTTAATTATTGTTTATGCAAGGCCTGTGTGGCCTGTGATCCACAATTTCAATATTATTATCCGAAATAATTCGCCAAACACGCTGCCTAATAAGGCAAGCAGCATAAGGCTGGTTAGCGCCAGGACGAACTGCGAAACATTCTTAAAATAAATGCATACCATTTTATATTATAAAAAGCTGCATTTAAAAGGGTTAACTTAAGACCTCACCTTAGGAATTTGTACACGAAGATAATCGAGTCGCGTCGAATCGTGTCTTGTGTCAACATTAATCGCAACAAATTTAATTTCACAATTAAATGCAAAGACGCGATGCGTTTAGCATAAATTAACGGCATGTAAGTAGGCGCCGCAGGGTGCCTGAAACTGAAGGGGAATGGGTGGAATTTCGGCTTGCTTCGTTGGTTTCAGGTGTCGTGCCAACAAATAAGCCGCCAGTCAGCGCTTCCGTTTCCTGCCCTGCCCCTTACTCCCACCGTCTGCGCTGGTATGGGTAGCAATTTTCCATTAGTGTATTTATTGCAAAATGTAATTTAATTGACGTCATCGTCTAATGCATTTAAGCAAAAGGAATTAAGTGTCTTTAATTGTTCACTTTAATTAAATTAGCCAAGATATTTGCCAAAAACCAGATTTAAAGTCTTTCATAGCAGATAGACAAGTGAAAACTGGCTTGAAAAAGACAGCTAACATTTATCAAGAGCAGCTGCAACAACAGATGAAGTTGATTGGAATTAATTTCGGGTTTTGTCCGAAACCAGACTGAAAAACATGTGTTATGCGTGCTCATCGTTTTGCTCTCGGCAATAAGTATGAGAAATTGCTTAAAAGTGTGCAATGTGTTGAAATAAATAAAGTAAAACAGAAGCAAATCGAACTTCAATATTATACAAGTGTTTGCTGCTTTTTTTTTTTTTTTTTATATACCTAAATAGATTTTTTTATATACGTATTTAGAAAAGCATTTGAATCTTTAATGCTTTTATAAAAAAACATTTCAATTCCCAAGTAACAATAGCGATTCTAGCATTGATTGAAACATAAATACATATACTTATAATAAAATATACAATAAAATAAAAAATAAAATAATACTAGTAGTTATAGTAAAGTTGATTATAATATTAAAAATGATATATATATATATATATATATATATAAATATATATAGCAATATTTTAATATTTTAAGCGATTTATCA